CTATACCTGTGAGATTCAGAACAATCTGACAGTGATATCTGGTCCTGGAATCCTGAAAAGGGACTAGCAAAAGGCAAGAAGTCACACGGGTATGCTCCCTAACACTTCTCTCACTGTTTTTTACTCTTTCCTCTGTTGCAAACCTCAAACGATGTTAATGAAACACGTAAGCCGTGCGAATGGCCAGGCTGGCCACACCCCGGAGCTATCTAAACCAGGCTCCTGTTTGTGCAAGCACATCTATGCATGTGTTTAGGGGAAGAGGACATGAAAATGAGACACATACACTAATGCTTTTCCTCTTCCATCCTCCCAGCTTCTGGTAATCTGTGGTTCGGGGATTCCCTGAGCCGGAAAGACTGGAAAGGACTTGATGGACTGGTCTTCCATGAACTCATCTAATGAGCCCATTTGTTCTCTTGCTCTTTACAATACCCAAGGACGTCTACAGTTAAGCTGCTCACTGTACAGAAAAGTCAATTTCTTCTGCAAATTCAATCCAGATGCTGAAAGTCAAGCCCTGTTCTCCCTAGAGCCAAACTAGACCCTTTAGCAGCTCTTCCATTTGCATTTGGCTTGGCAGCTGTAACTGACTGGAAATTGCTCCTGTAAATACGGACAGGCTTGGACGTCTGAGCGCTGTGTGACTGCTTAGAGGCTTGAAGATGAGTATGGGTGGAAGTGGTCTGAGACCACCGGTCAATAGTTCTGCTAAGAATAGCGAGGTGTGAGTGGAAAACACAGAGCATACTCTCCCTGTACTGCAAGGCCAGTCGGAATGCAAAGCAATTAAACATGTCTTTGGTTGCTAAAATAAGACACTTTGACACTGAACTCCTCCAAGACTTAGGCTGTGAAGACTAAGAAGGATTTAGGTTTCCTTTCCAAGTCAGAACTTTACTGTCTTGATTGCTTCCCTTTAGCCCATTTTAATTCTGCATGTGTTCATTTCTTTGGGTTTTTCTCAGACCAACAGATGCTGAGCAATAATCCTGGAATCTACAGCTGTTCCATCCCCCACATCTTCCAAGCTGACCTCCCAATTCTGCAGAAGCTCTGTGCAGGGTCCAGGCTGCCCTCGGGCCCTTTGCGCCACCTTTCCAAACTCCAGTCAGCTGATGGGGAAACCTTCCTGCACTTTGCCAAGTCACACTTGTTCATAGATGGTAAGAGAACCCCTTGCAGTCTATCACACATTCTCAGGCAAGTAATAAACTATTAAGATATTCTTTGACAATTAGTATTTTCTTTGAGGGGAAAGAAGAAGTTCAGCTTCAGAAATAAATCTAACAGCAGGCAGGGAAAGGTGCCCCATCATGAAATTCTGTCAGCCCCACAGAACAAAAAGCTGTCTGGTCCTGCAAACACCTTCTTAAGATGTTCAGTAATGGGTTTTTCAGAAAATTTGTTTCCTGCTGTTCAGCAGTAACAACAAAGAACAAAACTGAGTTTTGCATCATCTGATTTTTTTTGTAATGAAGAAGGCTTGAAATTCTTTTTCCTTTCCTAGTTTTCTTGCTGATTGTTAGTAACAGTTTTTCCAGGAGAAGGAGGAAAAGTAGAAATGAACTTTTGAAACCAAAGTCAAAATAAGGAGAGGAGGCAAAATCACTTCTGCCCCACTTTATGCATTGGAATGAAATGACCCCAGCTTAGGTGATGCTTTTCGGTCCCCTCTTAAATGAAGGAACATGAAAGACTAATTGCCCATACCCTGTGTTACTCCACAGATATCTACGTGGCCTGGGTGGCTCAGGAACTGAAGACCGATTTGTTGGCTGAATCCTGGCAGCATTCCGGCCAAAAACTTCCCTCAAACTGCTCTCTTGACTACCATGTCTACAACATAAACCTAATAGGGACACCATTGAATTCCACCTTTTATTCCATTAACGATCATTCCAAATGGGCTGTGTCAAGGGAATACAAAGATCAGTGGACCTGCATCGGAGACTTAAACCGCGCTGCCGAGCAAGCTTGGAGAAGTGGTGGGTTCATCTGCACGCAGAACGAACACATCTACAAAGCCTTCAGACCTTTGATAATCCACTATGAAAGTTGCACCGATGCTTCCACGTCGATCTAACGAACCGTTCCTCCCAAAGAGCACAGCCCCCTGTCACACAGAAAGTGTAGGAAACGTTCTCCCTTACGCTATGTTTTCACTCTGAAAAACAGCCCTGTGCGTCGCCAGATGGGTTAGACCTCTGGCCATCAGCGCCGGGCCGAGCCGCTGCTGCGCAAGGCTGCGTTGGCTGCGCGTCCCTGGGAGCGGAGCGGCTGTCACAGGCGTCACTGGGGAAACTGGCGAGTGACCAGGACATGGGATGGGCCAAACAACAGGGATCCATCTCCTTAGCTGGGTTGTTAGGGCAGTTAGCAAGAGAAAAGTACCCCAAAATGCTTCAAAACCGCCCTGTGTTCCAGGTGCTGTTGAGATCAGTCACAGCATTTCTGCTCAGTTTGAAGAGCTGACAAAATTGGATACAGACAGGGAGACCTGTGGACAGGAAGGCTTCATTTTTACATGACTCATTTTTTTAGAGAAGAAAGGAGCTTTAAATCATTTGTAACCAGTAGCTTGGGGGTATTTCTAGTGCTTTTATTCATGTACAGCAATCTTACAAATAAGCGCGTCCAAAATATGAATAAGCAAAATAAATTAAGAGCAAAAATGTTTACTGTTTACAGTCTCCCTCTTCCATCTTTATAGTTATTTGTGGTTGGTTACAATGTCTTAGAGCTGCCAAAGGAAAAATGGAGAAAATTGGGAAAAAAATCAAAAAGAAAAGAGGAGGAAATATTCTTCTCCTTAGAGAAGAAATTTAGAGGAAAACTTAACTTCTAACTTGGAAGATGTTATTTTGCCTGCATTTTCACACTACAACAAACCTGGCTGTTAATTTTCATACCTCCAGTCTTAGGCTTAGGCCCTGAAGTTTGCCTGGAGTGGCTATAAAGACAACGCTAATCTGCAAAATCCTGATACACTCTGAATATATTTATAAGGTTATATCTCACTTGTATTTTTTTCTCTGAACTGCTAATATAAACTCCAGGCTGAAGAGTTGGCTCTCCTGCTAATATTTATGGTTTGCCGTGTTCACAGTCCATAGCACCGATTCTCCACAAGTCTCTTAAAAGGAAGTAGATAGAAAGAAATGCCCCACAACCGCAAGGAGTTGTCGAAGATTTCCTTCCCTTTTCACCCTGAAAAATCAGCCAAACAACAAAGCGTACAAAGTACCAAACAAATTCATTTCAGAAAATATTTGTGCATACTTCTTGAAGAAATAAAATTAATGTGTCTGGGCATCTTAATGAGGAGAATTGTCCAGGAGTAGATTTTGTATGTAGTCGATCAGGATTGAAGGCAAACCCAAGTCTCGTAGCTCAGTGAAAATAATGTAGGCAGTTTAGGTATTCTGCACAAAACAGGAGTTTTCCTGTTCCCTTAATATGACCAAATGTCATCTGATAAATAATTTGCTTGGTCATGTTTTTTCTGTGGTGCTTGTCAAGTCGATTTACATATCTACTTTTCGTTGTTTTACTAGCTGTGGTCAAGCAACACCTACTTGTGGCAGTGGAAATTGCCAGTGACACAGAAGGCTGAGCAGTGGGGGTGGCAGGGCATTGCTCAGATAAGCCAAGATAAAATTAATTTCTCTTGTCCACCTCTGCTTGGCGGACACTATCCAACCTAAGCTGTCTGAACCCGTACGTCGTGCCCCCAGCTTTGCATACGCGTGACCTCGGCGTACAGGAACGCTGAGAAGTCCTGCGCTGGAGACGCTGCTGCTGAGGTTGCCGTGGCACACCAGACCTGTGACACAACTGGTATTTCTCACGGTGGCGGCCCAGCCACAGCATTTGGGTCACGGAGTTCAATAGCAAAGAGTCCCCATCCAACACTGTCACAACCGTGTTGCCACAGCCCTGCTCCTCAGGCTACAAGTCAACTGTCCATCACTCGGCTTTAAGTGCTGATTGTTATTAATTATTTGATGTATCGATAGCTGTCGTAAAGCTTCACAAGACTACTTACAACATTACTCTGTCATTATACCAAGGTTGGTAGCCTCCATTTCAGCTGATACTGAAGAGGCCTGAGCAGCAGTGGGAAGACGGAGAGAAACACTGGTACCATACACCACCACAGGCACCTAAATAGCCAGGTTGTGCACACACTCATTTCAGCGGTGTAGCAATAAAAAGGCTGCAGTTCTGGTTCTCTCATTTTCTGACTGCAAACAGTTTTAATTCAGTTTTGCTTCCATTGTGAAACTTCCATGTTTGCATATCCTGGTATTTCTACTACACACATTACGAAACATGGGCAGCCTCTTTGTTTCCCAAAAGAGGCTGATAATCAACAAGATAACCATATAGATTTTTAAAGGGTTTGTAACTCCGAGGCTTCCTGTGCAATGGCAAGACCGTTTGCCACTTACTCAGCCTCATATGCCCTCACAGCATGCACTGTGATCAGTTGTTGGTGTGAAATACTTGTTTCTGCGTATTTTATATATATATTCAGAGAGGTTTTAATTTTAAAATGTGCTGTTCTTTTTCAAAATGCTAAACTCCCAACAAATACCTGCCTTTCCCAGTGACTCGGAGCTGCCTTTGCTGCCTGCTGTGACCCTTTTGACAGGACAGGCCTTCTCCGGAGGAAGGGGACACCTGGCACTGTCCGCGCTGCAGTTTCAGGGGACCTGCCCAGCAAAGCTGACAGTGCCAAAGGACACAAGCCTTGGAACACCCCGACGTGGAGAGGGGAGAAAGCTGGTCTCTTCTGGAAACCCAGAGCTTCTCCTCCGTGGCGTGCAGGTAGGGCTATCCTGACCCCTGGGCTCTGTTCTGGTTAGACTAAAGGAGAAGCTTCATTATACGTGACAATTGTTTGCTGAGGGAGTAGGAGAGGCCAAAAGCAGGCATTATTAATTCTCTAAACATTACTGTACTGCAGCCAAGTTTGTAAAAAGCACAACAGTAGGGATCGTTGTTTGGTATGAATTGCCTTGTAATCATTTCCACAAGCAGAGACTCAGCCCCAGCACGCCTGACAAGCTGACGCGGGGCAGGAAATGCAAATACAGCCTCAAACACGCCTGCCGCTCGCTCACCCACCTCCTACCCTCACCCTCACCATGGCCACTGCCGTCCCAGAGCAAGGGCACAGCTCCGTCTCCCTGCCACTACGCCAGCAAACCCCCTGCCGAGGTTTCCGTAACCCCCCGTCTCCCCCCGGATGCTTCTGTAACACGGGCCATTGCGGGTTGTTAGGGTTTGCTGTGTTGGAATTTTACACGGACTCGGTGCGGGAGGTCAAGGGATTACACATTAGCCTCGCTAGGGCTAAAACTTACCAAAATTTGAAGGCATAAAAACTTAAACCATGTGAAGTTTAATTCCAGCTGGGCCATTAGAGCACTGGAAAGCAGGCACAGGCATTGCAGCCTGAGCCCATGTCAGAGGGCAGCCGTTACGGTGTCTCCAGGAGGAGTGTCCTATGCTGGGAGTGGTGAGCAACGCGTCCGAGAACTTCTCAAGGACACCTGCGGCTCCACGCCAGCTGCCTGCCGGCAAGTCGAGGAAGCTCTGAGAGAAATTACTCTGACCGAGCTGGGAACCTTCCCTTCTCCACGGCATGCTAGCTTAGCCTGGCACTGGGACTTGCCGTGGAGGCTCGCAGGTGATACTCGAACCAGAGCAAAGTCTGCTTCAACGTACACTAGACTGCACCTCTTTAAAGCGCAGAACTCCGGCAAAGCCTGGGAGGTTTTGGTTGTCTCGCTGTCCGTAAAGCCCATTCTTCAGCTGCCCTTGCCAACCCCACACGCTGCTCCCCTCTCAGCACGCTTTGTGTGGTTTTCTGCTCTCGAAATGGGACGTTTCCAGCAAACACACCTAATGTAAGCGCCCGTGCCAGACAGGGCTCCCTCAGCTTGCCCGCGGTAGGAAAGCAGAGAGTTGGGTGTTTTGAGCTATATGGGCCTGTCTCATCCCTCTCTCCTGTTTAAATACATCCACTCCTGACACTAATGAAATGCACAAGAACATCATTGTGAGACTTTTTTTTAATGTCTCAAAGCATCCTTGGCATTATTAGCACAGTCACATAATTATCCCCAGGGAAACTTACACCCATATGTTAACGCCCATAAATTATTGTGTGGATCTCTTTTATACCTTTATTTTCAGTTTCTGGGAAAGGTACCTCACTGGGTATTTAGTATAGTAATTGTTTCAGAACGTGTAGGCTGCCTGTGCCCTGGGTAGAATGTTTGGGAGACAGGGTAGTGCTGGCAGTGTTTTCTAAAAGCTCTGTGCAAGCCACAGCCTAACTGTGCTCAGAATGTGACGCACCTCTGTAATTTCACTAGAGATTTCTTAAAAAGACAGGAATTTAAAAATGAGAATGGAGATGAATAGAAATCTATGTTAGGCAAGGTGTGGGAAAAAGCCCTTTGTAGCACAGAATAGATTCTTCATAGTACAAGGCAGAGAGCCTGATATGAAGGCTAGGATATCAATATTTGTGGTTTTTAGATACCCTGGTGCCTGGAGAAGCTTAGTCGTATCTGACACTTTTCTATTTAGATTGAGATACCAGATTAAAGGCCTAATGTGCTGAATTTTCTCATAATCCTTATGAATTTGTCATGAATGCAGTAAAAGAAGCTGCATATGAACTCAGAAACCACTTGTAGCACTTTTGGATCTTGGCCTCGGACAGGAGCTAGCTCATAATATAATTTTTTAATGCAGGCCCACTGTATGCTTATCTTTATGGTTTTTAACTGAACTGTCACAGTATTAAGAGTATGCTATTCTATGCATATTAGATATCTTCATTTTATTCAAACTGTTAAATTCAAATCATTAGGACTTCAAAAAACGGATCTTGCTCTTCATAAACAGCTGTGGTGTTACTTTTGCTCAAGTAATTTTAGTAAATCCTCTTGATTTTATTTTTTTCAGTTGAGTTTGTTTGACCTTTCTACATGAGGTATCTGGTGACTATGCTGATGCTCCTGTAAGAGGGATAAAAGTAAGGAACATTCTCCCCCTCCCTGGGTA